GACAAAAGGAAGGGGGTCAGAAGCCTCCATGAACAGGGTTTGAAGCTCACTGGTCTCTGCCAGTCCCTTCAGGGAACATATGGGGAAACTGAAGCCCAAGGAGGGAGGAAGTTGCTCAGGATGACAGAGCCAATGGTGACAGAGCCAGGACAGAGACATGAGGCTCCCAGCTCCCAGATGCCCTGTGCCTTTCCACTCCTCTGGGCAGCCTCTGCTAAGCAAGGAATGACAAGGATGCTCGCTCTTCCATTAGAGCAATGTCCTCTACCCTGGCTGTACCCTGAGGAACAAAGGATAACCATGCTGGGGCCCCACAGCAATGTAATTGAGTCAGACTCTTCAGAAGTGGGGCCTAGGCATCAGCATATTTTTCAATGTTCCCCAGGATTGAAAATTTCTGAACTGGAGAAGGGAGGAGGCTGATGGTTCACTGTCAGGTGTGGTCCCTGAAGATACATCTAATGAAGGAAGGACTTCATTAAGCAAAAGTCAGGGCAGACACCCATCCCCAAGACCTGCCCAATGTGTCTTCATGGTGGGACTTCTTGTCTTCTACTTTTGCCAAGTGCTGCTTGCTATTTGAGACCATTCCAAGGTAGGTGAGATGTGTACCCCCAAGGTCAAGGTTGGCCCCTTTTGGAGGCATCTGTACTGCCCTCAGAAAGGGGTTTGGGAAGACTCAGCCACCCTCAGAGCTGCTGTGTGTGTGTCAGCTGCCCAGCGGCAAAACAGACCAGGTCCCTCCTGCTTCGGAGAAAAAGCCACCTGGGGGGGGGGTCTTCTGAAAGTGGAGCACTTAGAGCATCAGGGGGTCTTAGAACCAAGTCTGCCAGAGGTTCCACCTGCCCCATCTGCCTCCTCCCCAATCCGTACTTTCTGGGACTCAGTTTCCCTTTGCCAATAGTCAAGGAATATTGATTTAAATTGGAAGACCTGGTTTCTAGTTTTAGTTCTGTCCCTAACCTATTGTGCTTCCCTGGGCAAGTCCCTTTATGCTCCAGGCCTCAGTTTGCCCATCTAGATGATAAAAGAGGTGGGTATGTCCTGGAGTCCCTGGATGGTGCAAATAGATAATGCTCTTGGCTGTTGAAAGATTGGAGGTTTGTGTCCACCTAGAGGCACCTTGGAAGAAAGGCCTGGTTATCTACTTCCAAAAAAAATCAGTCCTTGAAAACCTTATTTAAAATAAAGAGTAGAACACGGTTCTACTCTGACATACAAGGGGTCACCATGAGTCAGAATCAACTTGACAGCAACTGATTCACTGGTTTTCGGATGTGATCTAGTATTGTTATTTGAGATGCCACAGATGCCTTCACTGAGCCCCTGGGGACTGCTCTCCAAGCCCCTCTTTTGACAAATCCCAAAGATGTTTGGCTCCAAGGGCTCTATTAGCCATATGAGCTGAAGGCAGCCACAGCCTGACAGATTTCAAGCGGTATTTCGATGTATTAGGGAACACACTAGGTGACTCAATTCCCATCCATTTACCATTCTTACCATTTGGCCAAGGACTTTGCCCCTGGGATGAACCCTAACACCAGAAATCATCCTGGGGTTTTGATTTTTGCCAGTAAGAACCTAACCAGCTTTCTATCCATTCTGACTTTGCACTAAAGTTTGAAAACTACTTCCCAATGCTGATATTTGTGGATCAAGTAAGAGCTAGTGGAAAGGAGGGAATCACTAGACTTTGGAGCTTGGTGAGAGCTGGGTTCAAGTCTCAGCTCTGCCTTATAAGAGGGAACTTAGAAGGCCATGCCCTTCTGAGCCTCTATTTCCGCATTTGTAAAATGGAGACTGTAATATCTACCTCTGGTTGCAGTGAGGAGTGAATGAGTCACAGGCACCCGGTTCCTGGCTCTATGTATTCTAATGGCAGAAAGACAGGGTTTAATCCACTGCTACAGATAGAGGGACCCAATGGTCTTGCCTATGCTCATCCTTCAAGGCTCTGACCAGTGCCCCTCCTCCAGGAAGCTTGCCCTGACTATTCAACCTACACTAATTTCTTTTTTTTTCCATTTCACCTTCTCCCAGTATGGCTCAGTATGGTTGTTTCCCAGCCATTTTGTGTGTAACAATTTTGAGGCCATTTGAAGGTGTCCACAGGCCCAAGTGGAGCCTTCAAATGATGATGACATTAATAATGGTGACAGTTACCATAAGTGGGTGTTTGCCACGAGCCACACACTGGCTACATGCTTTACACACACAATCTCATTTAATCTTCCCAACGGTCCTTTGAAGTAAAGGCCAAACTACTTGGGTTGCATCCTGCCTGTGCCACTCACTGGCTGTGTGACTTTGAGAAAATTATTTAATCCCTCTGTGCCTTAATTTCCTCATCTGTAAAATGCATAGAATCATGGTGAGAATTAGTTAACACATGTGAAGTGCAGAGAACAGTGACTGGTAAGGAGCAGGCTGTAATTATTATTGCTGATGTTGTTACTACCTCTATTTTACAGATGAAGAAACAGAGGTTCCGAGAGGTGAAGTGACTTTCCCAAGACCAGAGAGCCAGGTAAATAGCAAAGTCAGGATTTACCCCATGCCCAATGCCCTTTCTCTGTGGGTCCCACACCTGTGCTTAATCATGACCCAGAAGGGATCTTAGAAACAACCCAGTCCAGCTCCCCCTCCAAGACAGGGTCCTTTCTGCAGCACCCCCACAAAATGGTGGCTCAGCTTCTGCTAGAACTGCAGAGGGCAGGGCTCTCAGAGAGCAGGGACCGTGCTTGCTGGTTCACCATTATGTCCTGTGCTTGGCACACCTTAGTCCCAAAAGAAATAATTGATGAATGTGTGAGTGAACGAACCAGGAGCTTTCTACTACCCTCTCCTGCTCCCAGGGTGGTCTGGTCAGTGGGTGCCCAAGAATCCCTCATTTGAAGATGCTGGAGCCTCTAACCCTTATCAGATGGCGGGCTAATCCTTAGTCTCTCTGTGAATCCCCATGTGGCCCATCCCATTCATATTATCCACAGATGATGCTGCCTCTGCCTCTCTCCTCCGCGGTCCAAGCAAGCTCTGTGGGGGAGGGGCTGGCCCCAGCTTTCCAAGGCAGGTCACACTGGAGACACATCTGCCTGAGGGGTATGAGGCACCAGGGCAGGTGAGTCACTCCCATGGGCACGCAGTTCTGGAGGAGGTGGTGGCGCCAGGTGGCATAGATAGCCCTCCACCTTCATCACTTCTCCTGGCACAGCCTCTGTGGCTGTCCCTTCCTTCAGGAGCCCCAAATCCCATCCCCACTCGCACTGCCCACCCACCCTCAACCAGACTTTAGCTCCTGCTGCCTCGCTGGGTTGGCCTGCTCCAGACTTGATTCCCTCCCATGACCAGTTTCTCCCCCCACTCTCATCCAGTGTCCATGGGACCAACTCAATCTCTGTTTCCAACTGAGTTCATGCCAATTTTTCAAGTCTTGGTCTGAGATGGTGGTTCTCAACTGGGCACGATTTTGCCTCCCAGGACACATCTGGTAGTGTCAGAGGACACGGGGGGGGGGGGAGCTGCTATTGCTGTCTAATAGGTAGAGACCATGTATGCTGCTTACATCTTACACTGCATGAGATAGCCCCCACAGTGAAGAATCATGTCAACAGTGCTGCAGTTGAGAAACCCTGGTCTGAGGGTAGGGGCTGAAGACCTGAGAGCTGGAAACAGTTGCCTGGTTCTGCCCCCTCCCTGTCTCTCTCCCCTCCCTGTCTCTCTCCCCTCCCTGTCTCTCTCCCCTCCCTGTCTCCACTGTTCAGCCTTGGAGCTAGGAACTCCAGAGACTCCTCAAAAGCCTGAGCAGCCAGCTTCCTGGTGGGTCCCAGAGCCCCACTCCTGAAAACCTTACCAAACTCTCTTTTTCTTCTCAGGAGAGAAAGAAGGTAGGGCCTCACTTCCCACCACTGTCCTTAAGGACATGGCCATGGTACGCAGTAGGGCCATACTGCATGGGCACTGAGTGGCTGAAGGAAACCAGACCAGAAACCCCTCCTCAGCCAGCAGCAGAGCAGCTAAATGCCTTGCCTGAGTAGGACTGTGAGCTGAAACCCTGGCTTTGCTGCTTAGTAACTGTGTGATTTTGAGGAATGACTTGCCGACTCTGTGCCTCATTATCTCATCTGTCAAATAATGAGTTGGCTGTCAAGCCCACTCCAACTCTTAGAGACCTCATGTGTGTCAGAATAGAAATGTGCCCTGTAGGGTTTTCAAAGGCTGATATTTCTTCTCAGGTGCCTCTAGGTGGACTCGAACCTCCAACCTATCAATCAGCAGCCAAGCACTGGACTGATTGAGCCACCCAGGGACTCCATTTGTCAAATGTTGTTCTTCTTGTTGTTTTGTGCCGTGGAGTTGGGCCCAACTCATAGTGACCCTTCCTTGGGTTTCTGAGGCAGTATCTCTACGGAAGTAGATTGCCCAACCTTTCCTCTGAGGAATGGCTGGTGGATTTGAACCACCAGCCTTCTGGTTAGCAGTCAAGTGCCTTAGGCACTATGCTACCAGAGCTCCATCTGTCAAATGAGATGATAATACTACTAATAAACCCTAGCTCCTAGGCTTTTTGGTAGGGTTAAATTCCTGAATTCTTGTCAAGTTCATAGACAAGTGCCTGGCACATAGAAAGTGTTATTATTTATGAGAGATTTTTTACAAAAATTACTGATGCTCTGTGTTCAGGCTCTGTAGGCTAGGGACCTGCGTGCCTCTTCCTATTCTCTCGTGTTACAGCCAGACCTCCAGCCCAGCCTGCAGGACCCTCTGGACAGAGACAAGTGCCCAGCCCGCATGGTAGCAGCACCCTCCAAGTCTCTGGACCAGAGCTCAGTCACTACAAGCCTCCTCCAACCCACTTTCAGCCCCCAGCACTTCAAGTCCATTGGCTGGAGGCTTCAAGAAGCAAGGCTGAGAAAGGAAAAGATCAAAGCTTTTAGGAACGGCTGCTGTTCTAAGGCCAGAGCTTGCGGGAGGACAGCCAAGCTGTCCCATAAATGTCTTACCCATAAATGTCCACGAGGGTCTCCACGCCAGCCACACACACGGCGCTGGTGGGGTGCTCCAGGGACACACGCACGATTCTCTGCAGCGACATGCTTGCCTTGGACTAGGCTGCAGCTGCCAAACCCGATACTGCCCCAGAGGCCCCATGCGATGTAGTTTAAAAGACCCTGACCCCTCCTCTCCAGCTTGGAGTGCTAAGTCATTGGCTCTACTCTTGGAAGCTCAGCCCATTTTCAGGGCCAAAAGCTCAGGATTGGCTGGAAGGAACCCAACATTTGCATATGAACCTGTTGACCCCTTCTCCCCTCACAGCCCAGACATCCAGAGAGTTAATTTCTCTCCAAAGGAAGCAAGTCCCCACAGGTACCTGGCTAGGGTGCTAGGGGGTTAGAGGGGCAGGGATGTATGGTGGTACAGATCTGGGGCCCTTCTTCACTTTGCACATTTGCCCTCATCACCCCATTTTTCCTTCAGTTTCAGAGACAACATGGTTTATTTAGTGAGGGGCTTCTCAACCCTGCTGGGGGAGCTGGTGGAAATGCAGATTCCCAGGCCCAGAGGTTCGATACTGTGGGTCAGGGGTGCAGTCTAGCACCTGAATCTTTCACAAGCATTCTGACCCCCTGGGAAGAGCACCAGTCTTTTGCTTGGAGTGTGGATTTTAGAGGCAGGACTGAGTTTCAACCCTGCTCTGCCACTTCCTGCCTGGGTGACCTTGGGCAAGTCATAATTGCTCTGTGCCTCTGTTTTCTCATGTGAGGGGTGATGGTTGTGAGGCTTCAATGGGATAATGACAGCAGAGCCCGAGTGTGGAGTCTGGTGCTGGTGGTGGTGTTGTTACTATTATTAGGTGCCGAAACCTCCAGAAGGGGTAAGTGAAGAGAACCCTCCCTGGCCAGGGGAAGCCTGGAGTGCCAGAGCAGGAAGGCTCACTTGTCACGTGGGGAACTGAGGCCAGAGGGGGAATGTGGGTACTTGGAACAGCAGGAACAAGGTTTCTGAGAAGCTTTTTGAGTTCCATTCTCCACCTCACACCTCTGTGGCCTTTGGGGTTCTCTCCTCTCTCGGGGCCTCTGTTTCCTCATCTGTTGAAAATGTGTCTAATCACCGAGCCGATAGAGATAATGGCGGGACACGCCCTTGGCCAGTGCAGGTTCCAAGTGCTGAGTAGAGGTTTTGATCCTTCTCCTGGCAGCGCTGACAGTCGAAGGCAGGGTGAGGACCAGCACCTGCTCCCCAGAGTCCCCAACTGGGCCTTTACACCAGTTCATTGACCTAAGCCAGACCCTAGACTCCTGTGTCTCCAGCTCCGGGCTGGGTGTTCTTTCTCAATGAGGCCTGCTAGGCTGCTGCGTCCAACGTCAGCCTCAGGTTTTCAGCTGTAAAATGGCTTGGGGGCTGACTCAGCTCTGGCTAAGAGTTAGAGTTCAGGAGGAAGTCCTGGACAGTTTTCCTAGTTTTCTCATGACCCAGCTTGGAGAATAGAGGCCAAAACTGGGGCTCCCCCCAGGGCACTAGCACACTGTGCTTGGTGGGAGGGAGGGCAGGGCCATCCTCACGTTCACAGCCGGGTATCTTCTTTACCTCACATGCTTCTATCTGTCTCTAATTAATACCAGGTTATTTTTTTTTAGAAATGGGTCTGTGGTTCTTTTAAACTAGAGTGTCAGTGGCTGATAACCAAACCAAAACCAAACTCACTGCCATCGAGTGATTTCCAATACTCATAGCAACCCTTCCTTGGGTTTCTGAGGCAGTATCTCTACAGAAGTAGATTGCTCAATCTTCCTTCTGAGGAGTGGCTGGTGGGTTTGAACCGCCAGCCTTCTGGTTTGCAGTCAAATGCCTTAGGCACTATGCCACCAGAGCTCCCATGGTATCACATTTTTGCTTCTCAATCTATAAGAAAATTAAAATAAGATGAATGGGTGAGGGTCCAGTGATACAACATGAGGCAGCAGCATGTGTGTAGGGAAATCAGACCACTGAGGCTGGGTAACTTAGCTTAGATGAGAAGATTGAGTCTGTCCCTCCCAAGATCTCATCTCAGCAGGGCATTCTGGCCCCAGGACAATGGGCACGTGTGGCCCCCATCTTGACGAATCAGCCTGCCTGCCTGGCTGGCCCTGGCGAGCCGCCCATGGCCAAAAGAAGTTGAGCTGAGGAGGTGGTGGCATCGTGCAGTAGAACCAGAAGCAGGGCCCCTCACTTTCCTTCCCTCTTCCCCCACAGCCCAACACACAGAAGCTAAGGAGACAACCACTTAAAGAAATGCATGCTGACATCTTTATTCATCAGAAAGGAGGTGACTGGTCACCTAGGACATTCTCAGAGGGGGCACCAGGGCTCCCCACTGGCCCTAGGGGCAATTCCAGAGTTTTTCACACTCAGCCCCACATTCCGGAGGGCTTTTCCCCACCTTCTGCCATCTCTCTGCAAGGCCCACCCCTCTCCCACCCCCAGCCCCTTGCTCCATCTCACACCCTTGCCCTGGCAAGGGTCCTCCTCCTTGGCTCAGCCAGGACCACATTATGATCATAAGCAGAGGGTGCACCAGTTAGACAGGGGGCTTGCAAACGGGGTTCCCTGGAGACCTCTAGAAGAAGAAGCTCTAGGTAACCCCTCCAGACTGCAGCTAGAGCAGTCCTAGTTATTCCAGTGTGCTCTGTTGAGCTTTTGCTCATTAAGTTTCTCCTGCGTTTGATAGCAGCTGGCCCAGGCTGAGGTCTCACCAGGGCCACCAAAAACCCAGACTGGCAGAGGCCCCGGGGCTGACAGTCCAGTGGCAGCTAGGGAGGAGGGCAGGCTAGCTCCACAGCCCTCCAAGCCTGTCTCGGGCCAGGGCTACATCTCACCCTGCAGCCCAGCCCAGCCTGCCTGCACACGTCCTGGTGACCTCACCTGGGGTCACCCTATTAAACCTCACTGCTTCCATGTCAGCTTTGTCTTCCCTGCTATGGGAAAGGACACGAGCCAGCCATGGGGGTTTACACACAGGTGAAACCCAAGCTACGTGCAGGGTCCCGGGATAGCTGCCTTTCCCTCCCACTGCCTGCAGAAGAAGGGGGATAATTAAGGCCTATTAGAGGAAATTAAACCCCACCTTCAGAGATAGCCTAATGGCTCACCCCACCCTCTTCTAACTGGGCTCCCTGCTACATCCAGTACAGCCAGGTCCCTTTGAATCCAGAGTCCAAATTCCAGAGCCCCAGGACACAGAGACCTCCTGGCCCAGGTTTGATCATCTGACCTTCAGTCTTCCCTGCTGTCCAGCCTCATGCCCTTGTGACGGGTCTTCCTTTGTGTTTCCTCCATAGGCCTCTTGTTGGCCTCTCAGCATTTTTGAGCTGGAAGCAGCCAACACTCATAATTAAAGGCTTTCCCAACAGGTAACAAGCACCCTTCTGAGGACGGAGTCAGGTATTAAAGGCTTTCGGTTGCCTTTATTTTTCTTTTTAAAGCAGGCCCTCAGACACTGTGTTTTCCTGTCCTTGTTTGCCTGTGTGTGGTGGAGGGTATGCTGGATGGTCATAGCCTGGGGTCCCCTTTGGGAGAAGAGAATTGGTAGAGGAAAGAGGATGTCTCACATCTCCCTTCTTGGTCTTATGAGAGCCAGAGGCAGCCTAGAACTGGGGTCCCTCACCCCAGAACCAGATCTTCTGGGTCCCATTTCCTGTGCAAATACGAAGTCATTACCCTTGGACCCAGGAAGGCATCAGAGTAGAGGGAGCAATCCACAGTGAGTATCGTCTTGACAACTAAAGTGTGTCTGACTGAAGCCATGGTCTCTTCAACTGCCTCATATGCATGCAAAAGCTGGATGATGGAAAAGACAGACAGAGTGGATGCCTTCAAACTGTGGTGTTGGTGAAGAATGCTGAACACACTCAAATCAGTTTTAGAAGAAATACAACCAGAATGCCTGTTAGAAGTGAGGCTGGCAAGACTTTGACTTGCTGACTTTGGACGCATCGTCAGGAGGGCCCAGTCGCTGGAGAAGGACATCATATTTGGTAAAGTGGAGGGTCAGCAAAAATGAGGGAACTGTCAATGAGAAGGATGGACTCAACAGCCACAACAATGGGCCCAGATACATCAACATGAAGATGGCACAGGATGGGTGACATTTCAGTCTGAATCGGAGACAAGAAGACAGCAGCTCACAGCAACAATCCAAAGTAGGGTCCCCCTGCTGAGGCCACTCACACCCCTCCTTGAATGTGTTAAGTAAGGCTTTTGATCTTTCCCAGCATCCTGGGACCATGGGTAGGGATGAGGCAGGGAGAGAGTGAGGATAGTCCTTCCTGGGTTGGGTAGGCCACTCCAGAGGTGGAGATACAGGTTCTCTGTCCCTGCACCCCAGTGCCCACAGTGCCCAGGACATTTGCAGGCATTCAGGAGGAGTAGCCCAAGGCTCCTCAAAGAGGATGGAGGTCAGGTGGAGATGCCCTGCCTTCACCCTGATGGGGTTGGTTCCCCAGCTGGTGGGCAGAGAGGATGGCTGGTGGGGAGCAGGCTCAGGGCACCATGTTCCACCACTTGAAGGGAAAGGGCTTCCGGCGCACATTGGTGCCACAGTGGATCTCTCCAAGTAGCTCATGGTAGGACAGGAAGTCATCAATGAAGATGCAACGGAGGCCCAGAGGCTCCAGCAGGGACCGCACCTTCTCTTCCAGGCAGCAGCGGCCATTGATGATGGGACCAAAGGGTTTAGGGATGCCCAGGTACTTGCCTAAGACCACCATGTTGACCTGCAGAAGAGAGAAGATATGAGGGAGTCTCAGCTGGCTGGGGACACTACATCTGGGGCCCCTTCTGGACTCAGACTCTCACTCTGACCAGCCATCCCAGGAGTCTCTCTTATCCTCACCAGCATCCTGAGCCACCTCAAGAACCAGGATCCAGAAAAGCAGAGAATGAATAGATTCATGGTTGGAAGGGAGGGAATAACAGCCAGGGCTGCCAGTATTGTAACTTGCCTGAATCAAAGTCACCACTCCCTCTAACACTTTCTTCAATTTCTCCGAATTTTGATACGATAACAATGTTGTCAGAACAAGAGAATTCACTGCCACCTGCCAGGAACTTGTAAAATAAATACACACATCTTCAAGGTCTACAGTGTGAATATCTTTGTAAGTGTGTGCCTTTGTGCAGTTCACACCTGGTTCCACAGTCCTTGGCAGCCCTGACCATTGTTATCATTTATTGAGCATCTTCTGTGTGCCAGCTATAGCATCACTAAACATCCCAGTCTCCCTCTGAGGCTGTGGCTCAGACAGTTTTCAGTAACGTAATGAAGGTCACCAGCCAGAGAATGGGGAGATGAAATTTGGAACTTGAGTCTGACTCATGCCAAAACCTATGCTCTTGCCTCTCTGCCCAAGTCTGGCACTGGGGCCTCCTAGGAGGCTGAGGAGTTGGGGCAAGAGACTAGGAGCCCAGGCATCTGAGGTGATCTTTGTTATACCTCTGACTTCCACAGTTATGGAGCAGCCTTGGGGTCTTAACTCTGGGAAGGGAAGTTTCCCCAGGGTAGGGGCATGGAGATTTCTGGGAGAAACTCTCAGCCCCAGCTTGATGGCCAGAGGTCACAAGGAGCTGCCCTTGGTGTTCAACAACTCTACAGAGGATGGTTTGGGGTTTTCTTGTGGTATGGTATGTTGTCCTGAACCCTGTGCCCTTGAACTCTTGGTGCTCTGCGCTCCCCAAATCTGTCCTGTAGGGCCATCCATGCCTAGAATAAACATGAAACTGGAGGATCTCCTTGGATCAGTCCCATTGCCTTGCTCTTGGGTGCCCACTCATGAACCAGAGCATGCTGGCAGCAGGGCAGGCAAGAGGACAAAGATGGTGATGATCATGAATTCAGGACCATAGCAGAAGCCCGACCTCTGCTTCCTCCTGAATGTGGGAGATGGGGAGATTAGTCAGTTAGGGCCAGTCCCAGCTCTGCCTCAGGGAAGTCACCCACTCTCTGTGGGCCTCAGTTTCCCCATATGACAAACAAGGGGGTTAGCTGAGTGCCCTCTAAGGACCCTTCCATGAGGATGTGCTGAGATCACTTAGCAGGGCCAATCCTGAAGAGAGTCCCACTGACAGGGTGTCTATTGAGGAAGGGACTTCCAGGAGGTGGAGGCAAAGCCACAGCCCAAAGGGAGCTGACTCAGGCCATGGGCTCTAGCCTCTGCCTCCCCTCACCCTTCCTCCAAAGCCAGAGCCAGGTAGCCCCTGTCTAATCCAGTCACCACTAGCCACATGGGACTATTGAAATTAAATAAAATGACGCTTTTCTTTCCTCAGCCACACTAGCCCTGGTTCAAGCGCTTAGCGGCCTCTCGTGGCTCAGCAGCTACCATACTGTGCTGCACAGTTGAGAACATTCCACCACCACCCAAAGTCCTAATGGACGCCATACCTTAGAGCACTGGGCCGCAACCAGGGGTGATTTTGCCCCCAAGGGCATTGGTGATTGTTAGAATGAGTGGGGTATTCCCAGCATCTAGTTAGTAGAGGTCAGGGATGCTGTTCAACATCTTACAATGTACAGACAACCCCTACAATAGAGAATTACAGCAATGGCACCCAGGCTGAGGAACCCTGTGTTAGAGGTGCAAGGACTTGGAAGCCCGAGCCCACACTGAGAAGCCGGGAGTGAAAGCAGGTCCTCTGGGGTAGTGCCACCTCCCCTGCCACCAGTCAGATCAGGGCTCCAGAGCCCATTCCAAATGCTTAGCCTTTACAGAAAGAAAGATTCAAACTAAAGGCCCCAGTTTGAAGAGGGAGGGCCTCTCTTCCATCCTGAGGGACTACCCCTCACAGCTGCCAACACCCCAACATCCTTTCCCAAGGGTTTAATGGACACTTTGGCCAGGACGGTGCTGATAGCATCACTCAGGCCCCTCCCAGGTGAGATCACATCAGCTCACCTGCGAGTCAGCTGCCCTGAGCTAATGAGAGGCAGCAGGCAGCTTCACCTGGCCCACACAGGCCAATGCACGAGCCTCCCCCCTGCCCCCAGGGAGCAGACAGCTGGGCAGAGAAGCCAGGTGAGATTCAGAAGCTGAAGCATTTGGGATGAAACCATGCTTTCTTTTTGCATTTTTTTTGGGGGGGGGAAGCCCTTTGTTGTAAGGGGATTATAGGGTGTTTAACAGCATCCCTGGTCTCTATCCATAAATGCCAGTAGCATACCCCTCATTGCAACAATCAGACGTTCCTGGGGTGGGCAGAGGAGTCACCCCTGGTTGAGAACCACTGTTCTAAGGCAATGGTGATGATTAGAACTTTCTGTCATAATGGAAATGTTATGGCTAGTGTCTGTGCAGTCCATTCCGACTCATGGCAACCCCATGTGTTACAGAGTAGAACTGTGCTCCATAGGGTTTCCTTCGCTGTAATCTTTATGGAAGCAGATTGCCAGACCTTTCTTCTGTGGCACTGCTGGCTGAGTTGTATTAAGTTAGCAGTGGAGCACAAATGGTTTGTGTCACCGAGAGACCCTGGAAATGTTCTATGTCTGCATAAAAATCAAATTAAATTAAAAAAGCACTGGGGAGGGTGACAGGATCCAGCCTGTGCTTGAACAGAGAGTGGTTCTCCTCTGGGACCCCAGCTGTCCCCCCAAGGACAGACAGCAGGCTCTCACCATGTCAGGGAAGAAGGCTTCCGCATAGGAGCCTGCCAGAAAGAAGAGCTGGGGGATGTCGATGATGTCATGCTCCGTCAGGCCCAGCTCCCGCTTCAGCACCTCGCGATTCCAGTCAATGCATTTCTGGGGACAGGAGGAGAGGCAGCCGGAGCCCACTCGGGGAACACAGACAAGGAAGAGCCCTCTGTACCCTCCAGCACTTTGGATCCTCACAACAGCCTTGTGTAGCAGGAGACATTTCTGTTCCCACATGGGGAAACTAAGGCTCTAGGGTCCTGCTCAGGGGCACAGAGCTAGCAAGTACAGAGCTGGATTTGGATCCAGGCAGTTTGGGGTTCCTAAAGCCCTTGTCACTACACCCCACTGTCCCAGTCAGGAACACACATGGTTTATGCTCCTGCCTCATCTCAGCAATTTAGGGAGGGGATGAAGGGGCTCCCTCCCATTTACTGAGTGCTTACCCTATACCAGGGCCTGCACTAGGCATGTGGCAAGCATATCCTTGGGGCCAGCCCTGCCCCTTCCTGACACCCTCATTCCACCTGTTGTCTTCACAGGGCCCTCACTGATTTTGCTACTCTCAAAAAGGCCCCATTTCATCCCCACAGCTTTCTCATGGTGAGAATTCAGTGTTGCTTCCATGGAAATCAGTCATTCCACAGAGGAGGACCAGGGCCTCTCTCATCAGACTGGGAGTTCTTGAGGGCATGGCTATGTTTCCTCCATCAGACTGAGGATTTCAAGGACATAAACCCTTCTCTGCCCACAAGTCCCCAGGCTTCCAGAGGCCCACAAATGAGCCCCACTCCAGAAGTTCCTGGGCCTGCTTCTCCCTGCAGGGGGAGAGGTCCCCAACCCTCACCTGTACATAGAGACTGTCACTCCGGAGGCGTCTGTCCGCCAGCATCTCATTAATGCTTCTCTTCTGCCGGTATTTCAACTCTGTAAGAGAAATGGAGTCAGGGAGTACTGCCTGGGGCCATCTCAGGTTTGGGGCTGTATAATCCAGACCAGGATTTTCCTCCCACCTCAGTGCCAAGGTCAGAAGCCAGAATGGAGAAAGCCAGAGGCTGGGAACAGGGTCTGGTTGCAAGAAAAACCTGGTAATGGATTGGAGAACACCGCCCCCTCACCACCACCACCACCACCACCATCCACAACCAACCCCTGCCTGGAAGGGACTCTAATAATTACAGTACTGCCATTATTGAATGCCCCTCATGTTCTGGACACCCTACTTAATTTATTTAGCATTAATCTTTAAAACAGTCCTCAAAAAAAAAAAAAAAAAAAAAAACCTCACTACCATCAAGCTGAATCTGACTCATAGCACCCCTGCTGGGTTTCCAAGGAAATCTTTATGGAAGCAGACTGCCTCATCTTTCTTCAGCTGGAGGGTTCAAACCACTGACCTTTTGGTTAAAGCCAAATGCCTTAACCCCTATGCCACCAAAAACCCCAAGCCACTGCCATCTAGTCAAATCTGACTCATAGTGACCTTCATTTTGTTTCCAAGGCTGTAAATCTTTACATTCCATGGAGTGGCTAGTGGGTTTGAACTGCTGACCTTCCGGTTGGCAGCCAAATGCCTTACCCACTATGCCACCAGAGTTATTGCCCTCAAACCAGAGAAGAGGAACCAAGGCACTGAGAAGTTCAAAACACATCCATGAAGCCACAGCCACAGACACAGCCAGTAATGGCAGGACCAGGATTTGAATCCAGAACTATGGATCCCAACGGCTCTGCCATGTTCCTTCCAAGGCTAGTTCCTCAGGTCAGAATACTGAGGTCCGTGGTGAACACCGTCCTTGGAGGTCCTTGGAGGAGGCTCCATGGAGGGGCCCTGACCACCAAGCCGGGGTTCTCACCCTCTGCAAATCTGGAGCCGCCCCACCCCAACTCTGCTGCTTCCTGGCTGCACAGCCCTGGGCAACCACTTCTCTCTGAACCTGTTTCCTCCTTGTGAAAAGGCATAAGAAGAGGGTGGCGGCAAGATCAGGCAGGGGAGAGAACAAGAAGTGCAGGGCACAGACTGAGTACCCCACCCAAAGTACTCACTTCTTCCCGTTTCTTTCCTCTCTGGGACAGCGATGCAGAGTCTCCCCTTGCTGCATGCCTGGGGCTGTCCCCTGGCCTCTAGGCTTCCTATCCCCGACTCCAGAAAATGAGAGCTTAGCTCCCATGTGAAGGTGTCTGGATAGAACTTAGCTCCCACGTGAAAGTGTCTGGAGAGAGTGATGCTGCCTGGAGGCCCAAGATTCTCAACTGAAGGGCCTATAAACTAACGATCAGTGAGGGGAGACGTCACAGCTCCCAGGATGGTGACAAGTGAGCAAGCAGGGTCCACCAGCGGGTGACTTGGTCATTGACACTCACCATCGAACTGGGCGGCCTCCCCGTAGCCCTCCTCTCGCTTTTCCTGGAACAGTTTGAGGCAGGCTGTGGGGCTAGCCAGGAGCAGCCGGAAGCCCTGGCACAGAGGGAGGGAAAATTGGCTCAGGGTCAGGTTCCCCCTAGATGAAGGAGACCCCAAGCTCAGGAGAGGTCTGGGTTCAGAAGCAGGGCCATCAATGGGATGCCCTCATACACAGTCCTGCTCACTGGGGGGCTTCCCCTACCAGGCCACTGCTTCCTAAGGGCCTAGTCACTCCTCCCAGGTGGTTAATATGGGGCCCACTGTCTGAGTTTGAATTCTACTCTACCACCTACAGGCTATGTGACCTCGGATGGGTTAATTGCCCTTCTGAGCCTTAGTTTCCTCATCTGTAAAATGGGGGCAATAATAATAGTACCTATCTCACGGGCTTGCTGGAGGACTAAATGAATTAAAACATGTGGTGCATAGTAGGTGTTCAGTAAACGTTACCAATTATTATCAGCACTATTCCTGGCTCTTGACTGAGGGGTCTGAGTCCAAGCAAATGCCCAGTCAGTGTGAGAATGAGTGTCCTCCTGATCTGAGGCTCTGACCTCCCCCAGGAAGCCTTCCTGGGTTCATATGGCCTGGCCTCAAGGCTGCCCTGACCCTAAGCTGACTCTGGACAGAGGGGTTGAGTTGGTTCCAGTTGCCTATGCCCTGTCCAGTCCCATCAGGTTAAGCAGGAGCAGAGATGGCTCAGCCAGTAGGGGCGGGGATGCACCTTTTGGTCTGAGGTGGGCACGAAGCTCAGGAACTCATCCACGTGGCCCACGGAGAGCCAGTCCGAGTACAGCTCCACGGGCGCCTGCACCTGCTGGGCCTGCAAGAAGTTGCGCACCACCTTGGCCATCCGCCGCCCGCCGGTCCTGGTCAGGGAGGGAGAGAGTGAGCTATCGCCACGTGCCTGCTGCACACTGGCACCATGCAGGTGCTTTGTGTGTCCTCCTAACCACGCTTCATGACTACCCTCTGAATGGGTCCTTTTCTGTCCCCATTTCCCAAAGGGGGAAACTGAGGCTCAAAGAGCTGAAGCAATATAGCATGGACCACGCAGCTTAAAGCTCTGGTAGCATAGTGCCTAAGGCACTTGACTGCTAACCAGGAGGCTGGCGGTTCAAACCCACCAGCCACTCCTCGGAAGGAAGGTTGGGCAATCCTACTTCCGGAGTGATACTGCCTCGGAAACCCAAGGAGGGGTCG